GAGGGAGGGGAAGGGGTAGTGACGCATCGTGAAAGGTAAACGTACCATGCCAATAGCTACTATAGATACGGGGACGCCGTTGTATGCGCCTGTGATGGTCGTGAAGCCTCTTGACGAGGTGATCGTCTTCGGCGCGGGCTCGGCGTCTATAGCAGGTAGCAGGGAGCAGCAGGGAGCAGCAGGGAGAAGACAGGGAGTGGTGGCAGTGTGGCAGAGTCAGAAGGGAAGTTTGCAAGTGTGTGCAAGCCACATAACAGGAACACTATGCATACCTAGCTTGGTTGCGATCTTCTCCGCCCGCGACGGCGAGCCTACAGTTACGACGCGGTTGGCGATGTCGCCGAATCCAACCTACCAGAACAGTGATCGATCATGAGAGAGAAGGAAGAGAAGGTCAGATGGGTTTCTTTCAGCATCTGCATGGGTTATATCCTCACATCCATGTGCAGGTTCTTCCCATCGCACAGGGGAACTCCGTTCGTGTTCTCGTACACCGGCGCTTGAGCAGACATTGGCAAGGTGGGGTGGAGGAAGAGAGGGGAGGTATGTCGCTACGCCGATGGTTTCACACGTTCCACAGTTCGAGTTGCGAGTGGCTGTTCAGCTGTTTAGCAAGGCGAAAGAGAAATGGATCCATTCTAGAGCTGGAAGAGTCGGGAGTGTGCCAAAATCCTGGCTCTTTCTGCCGAAAACGCCCGTTCTTTTTACAAACCAACCTTTGTACAAGTTTCTAAGTTTACAAGTACCATCGTCTCTCTCTGCTGTCTTTATTGCCAAGCAGCGCCAATACTACTCTAGTGCTCTACTGTCGTGTCGACAGCCTCTACAGCACCTCTACTCCGCTGTTCTGCTGCTCTGCTCACAGCTGCCCCGCCTAGTCGCATATCTGGAAGCAGGAGCGGTTGCCCATGCTCTCCCCGAACACGTTCTCACAATTACGCATACTCTGCAGCACCTTCTCCACTAGCGCCGCCCCAGCCCCCACCCCCACCAACCCCCTGATGCCCTTCACAGACGGCACCAAGCCATAGCCGCGCTTCATCTGCGCGTAAGGGCGGGGAAACAAGCCTACCGAGTGGTTGGCCCACAGGAACAGCTCCTGCTCTGACTGAGCGCGTGCAGCAGGCGTTACACGCGCATCTGCATGCAGCACAACGCGCGGCGCATCGGAGTGGGTGGGGAGGCGGTCGCGTATGTCCAAAAGCGAGTCATCGGGCCGGAAGTAGAGCACAGTGGGCTGGGGTGCGGGGTCGTAGTCACGCTGCAGGCGCCAGTAGTAAGCGGGCTCGAGCATCTGCACGTTTAGCTCGTTTTTGCCCTTAGCGCGCTTGAGGAATGTCACCCGGAATCCCGGCCACATCACCTGCCCACCCCAGTGGAAGCCCGTGCTGCTCTCGGGCCCGAGGATGTTGGGCAGCACGAGTGAGCGCTGGGTGGAGATGGCGAGCCAGACCAGGCTGCGCACTTCGTCTAGCAGCTGGTTCCCGCTAAGGTAGAGCAGTTGCTTGGTGATGGTGGGACGCAGGGGGTCGTAATAGCGGGGGTTCCAGAATGCATTACCGGCCTTCAGCCCCATCACCTTGGTGCTCTTCTCGTAGCAGGTGGTGTGCAATGCGATGGCCTTCTGACTGTCCAGCTGGGCTGCCACCGCCTCCCCACCTAGCTCCATCGCCCCCCCCCTTTTGAGCACCAACTTGTCCAGCAAAGGCGCCGTGTCGGCCGAGAAGTACGCATACTTAAGTCCAAAGTTGGCCCTCCCTATGCGCATGCTGTCCAGTACGTGGTTCTGGTCCTTCCCTGGTAGAGATTTCTCGTACTGAGAGTCCATACGAAGATACTTCTGCCAGGCCAGCTCAAACACTCTCGCGGTCTTGTTATTGCCCCTGCAGAGGAACAGGCCGATATTGGGCAGTGGCTCCGTGAACCACTGCTTCCACCCAGCAGTGCTGCGGTTCATTATGAATATGTAGTCCTCCTGCACCAGAATATCCACCACAGGTGTCTTCACAAAAGCCTCAATCATGTACCGCGGGTCCTCCAAAAAACCCACATCCAGGTCCAGCATGAATACGTCCACCCCGCTGCTCAAAGCCTTGGGCACGTGCAGCAGCTTCACCTGCGCGATCTGCTCCATCACTGAGGGCAGCGGGCGCTCGCTGGACACGTAGTTGTAGCAAGGGAAGTGGGCCTGGTCGCACATCTTCATACAGCGTAGGTCGGATACGCATATGACCAGCGCACAGTGGGAGATGCCGAATTTCACCAAGGTGTAGACGAAGTTCTCGATTAGCTGCCAGTACAGCTCGTCGCCCACGGTGGCCAGGGTGAGGTAGATGGGTTGCTGCTGGGCGCGACAGGAGCTGTTGAAGACGAAGGTCACCGCCTCCTCCAACGTAGGGAAATCACCCCTTCCCCCCGCGCCTGCGCCCCCCCCGTGCCTCAGCAGGTACAGCGGGTGTTGCTGCAGCACCAGATCGGCCTTGTTCAGCTCCCTGGGCCGCCCCAGCACCCCAGAGGGCAGCCCCGTGCGTGGGGGCTTGGCGATGGCGGTGAAATTATGGAACACGATGCGGCGGTCCCGCTTTATCAAAATCTTCTTCGTGGGCAGCACCTGCACGAAGGGAAGGTCCCACTCTCCCGCCATTCCCCAGTTGGGGTCGATGCTAGCGACGAAATTGTAGGGGTCTTTCGGTTTCCGCTTCTTCTTGCTCTTGCTGTTCCCGCCCTTGCTCTCCTTGCCTTTCGAGTTGTCTATTCCTTTCCTGTCAGCACTGTCCTTGCCGTTACTGCCCTTGTTGCCCTTGGGCGGTTGTTTCTGCTCCTTGCTCGGCAATGTGCTAACCGCTTTGTGGTCCTCCACTGGGGGCTGTGTGGGTTTCTTCGGCGCAACCTCCACTTCCACCTTCACGTCAACGCCCGCCCCGGTTCTATCCAACCCCGCATTGAGGGGGTCTCTATCCTGACTGGTCCGCAAGCTTCCCGGTCTGTCCTCTGCTTTGCCGCGCGCTGCGAGCGAGCTGGGAGACCGGTTGTTGCGAATGAGCGCCGCGCCCGCATCGGGGTGTTGCAGCACCGCGGCGATCTCGACAGCATAGTACAAGCCGCACAGAAATACAGCCGTGCTGAGAAAGATGCCTGCTATAAAGCACCCCGACACGGTGCAACCCTTCTTCTTCTTGCCGACGGATGCTTGGCTCCGCCGAGACATCCTCCACCGCAACCAGTCGCGCTAATGCAGCCAGTCAGCTTCTGGGCGGCATGATGTGCTTCTGGAGCAGCTGCTGCATACGTTTATGAGATTGAGCGTGAAAGTCCAACGCGATGGAGGTGACCAGGTGGATGTCAAAAAGGATCCAACGCGTGCAAGCGAAAGGGAGTGGAGCAGCTTTCTGTAAAAAAAGTACCGGAAACAAAAGCAAAATTTAGGTCCATCGGAGATTCGAACTCCGGTCGCAAGAATCAGAACCTTGAGTGATAACCAACTACACTAATGGACCAGTGGTTGACTTACTCAAAAAGTAAAAGTATATAAAGAAGGGTACAGTAGGAAGATGGAGCACAGCCAATGGCTCCGCGTCCCAAGAAAGGAGTTGACTGGAGAAGTAAACTTACAATGATGTAGAGTAGAGTCATTGCCATCCGTGCACCGGGCCAATCTGAGCCCCCGAGCTCGAGCTCCGCGTTGCCCCACCCCTTCCCCCCTCCCCAATGTTCGCCCCGCAAGCACAAACCCACCTGTCCGCCTCGCTGCTGGCGAAGCAGCACCTCCTCACCTTTGAGCTGGCCCTGGCACTGCGCGTGACGCTGCAGAAGCCGCTCGATGTGTCCGGCAGGCTGCCAGCGCATCTGCCTGTGTCGCTTCCCGGCGTGTCGCATAGCAGCGCCCAGCTAACGGAGAAGGTCGGCGCATGCCTGAGCGAGATGGTCGGCGTGCTGGACGCTGAGGTCGGCCGTAAGGAACTGTCTGGGCAGAAGAGGAATAGGGAGCTAGAGAGGGACAGCGAGGGTGCGATCGACTTGGACAGTGCCTGGGAGCTTATCAGCAGCCAGCAGCAACAGCTGCAGCCCAAGTGGGAGGCCGTGACCAACAAATGGCACGCGCGGCTCAACTTCGGATCCGAGAAGGCCAAGGCCAAGATGAAGACCTTCACCCACAGCCTCTGGGACCAGGTTGGAGACACGTTGTTAGACGAGCGACGCGCTAAGGAGAAGTCCCGGCTGCCGCTGGCCGACAGCAGGCGCGTAGACGTGACGCGCAGCAGCAGGAGTGGTGCGCAGGAGGAGAGCGCGCCGGGCGAGAGTGCGAGGGAGGTGGCGTACGACGAGGAGGTGTACGATGACCGCATGTTCTACGCGCTGCTGCTCAAGGTTCGTAGTGTGCATTACGTAGTGCGGTGTACGTAGTATGCAGTACTCGCTGCATTGGCTCAACGTCAGGCGTGTCCTGCCCTCACCCCGCCCCACCCCCTTCCTCACCCCATCGCGCCTAACCTTCTTACCCCTCACCCCC